TTTTTTTTTTTCTCTTTCGGGTGGGCTGCAACGGGGAAGAAGATGAGCAGAATCGGGCTGAAGAAAAAGAGAAAAAGGAGAAAAAAATCAGCCATCCTTATCCAAATTTTCCTCTTTAAGTCCCTCAGGTTTGGAAATTTCACTATTAGGCCCCAAAACAATCTTTTCTCTCACAAAAACCCTTATTTAAATGCTAAAATATCACAAAATTTTGGGATATTACAAAAATGAAGCTCGAAAATTAGAGAGTTGGGTCTACCGTAGAGGGAAGCTTAGAAAATAGGGAGGGGAAATGGGGAATCCGTGGAGGGGAGTTTGAGTTTTAGCAAAAATGAAGCGCAAAAATTAGAGAGTTGGGTTTACCAAAAAGGGAAGCTCGGAACTTAGGGAGGGAAATTGGGGAATTTGCGTGCAATGGGAAGTAAAAATAAGGTAGGCTGAAATTAAAAAGAAAAAATAAAGTGTTTAAGAAATGGGGAGTTATACAAACAAAACACTAATCCGTCTGTATAGATATATTTATACAAACATATAATAATTGTTGTTGGAATAAATACACTGTATATAGACGAATAATTACTAAACCGTTTGTATAAACCAAGTCTATACTAATGGATATATTTTTCTGTTGGTAAAGACTTGTGTATATTAACAGCTTAAGTTTGCCGTTGGTATATATTATTTATGCAGACGGATTTTCTGTCCGTTGGTATAGACTTCCATTAGTATAGGGCATTTTACTTGTAGTGACTCCAACATGATATGGACACCAATTCCAACATTGCTCTGTTCATCCCACCGGCTCTAGCATTGCTTTGCTCATCCTACCAACATTGATCTCTTTGGTTCAAGTCTCCGATCATCTTTTTCTTCATCTTCTACCATAGATCTCGATTATCCAAAGTTGCCTACTATCCCTTTCATAGTCTCCCATCACTGATCTCTCCCATTTTCATTAACCTCAAATCTTGTCCATTTTCTTTAGTCTTGGATCATCCCATTCCATTTCTTTTCCTCCTAAAATCAAAAGGCCCAAATGTATCCCCTCATCTCTCTCACTTGCCAAACACTTCAATCTCAATTTCTTTATATTGTTGCCTATTGCACCCTATCCTTATACATTTTGGTATGTGTCTAACATTTAATTTCTCTTTTTCCATTGTTGAGAGTGGTCCTTTTGCTTCTCAAACAAAAGTTGGTGTTAATATACTACATGAAATTGGGAAAGGAACTCTGGTTTTCTCAGGAAAAGGACAATAGGGAAACTAGTAGAGAGGAAAAGAAAATGGAGGAAAATTGAGAGACAAGTGTAGAGGTACGCTTTTCCAGTACAAAAAAAAATGTTTTCCCTTTTTTAATAAGAAATTGAATTTTATATATAAAAAATTAAATTGTAATATAAAGGTATTTTTTCCAATATAGTAAATATTTTTATCCAATCTTATTTTTATTCAATAAATAACCCAGCACGTTGTTAAATTCTAATATATCTCATCCTATCTAATCTAATTTAATCCTATCTCTCAAATTATATCATATCCAATCCAATCTTGTATAGCAAACGTGCTCTTACTATCCATGGGCATTGCCCACCTAGTGTGACAAAAACTATCAAATTTTTAGCAAATCGGGACAGAGGTTAAGCGGTAGTCCAGTTGGATAAAAGAATTTCTCAATGGTTAGATAGGCAAAATTATTTTAACTACTATTATATTTAATTTTCTTTACGAAATTATATTAAACATGATAGAAATTGATAGAAACTAGGAGAAAGAAAGTACATAAAACATATAAATAAATATAAAACATGTGAACTCAAGTTAGCAAAGGTCGTTCTGTAGATTAAGTGCAGGCAGTGGCATAGTCAGAAATTTTTTTGAGGAGGCTAAACGAATTTTTGAAAAAAAAAAAAAAAGAAATGCATCTTTACATCAATTAAAAGGTCAATGAAAAGGAAAATTTTAATAAAAAATTATTTTAAATTAAGATTTGTTAGTCTTTATTTATAAAACTAATATTAATCAATGGTATAGTAATATATATATGACATTAACTAAAAGATAAAATAAATAAATATTAAATAGAAGAACATTAATAAACAAAAAAAAAAGTTGAAGGGTCTTAATGAATAAAAAAAGATTAATACAAAGATGATATTTTTTTATTTTTTATTATATTTTATTTTATCCTTGTTTTCCTCATTTTTCTCATAATTATTAAAACTAGTGTTTAAAAAAGTTAAAAAATAATTAAAATATATGAAATAAGAAAAAGATTGAAATAATAAAAATATAACTTAAAACACCAAAATTTTTATTTTTTAAAAGCTTAGGGGGGTCCTATGCTCCTTCAAGCTCCCTTGTCTCTGCCAGTAAATGCAAGGTTCGTGTGGGGTGTACTTTTAAGATCATCCAAAAAGAAATTAGTCGCAAGGTGTAAGAAAACAAGTTTAAGGACAAAAGCCACCTCAAGCATCCAAACTAGTTATATGTACTCCCACACACACCAAAAAAAAAAAAACAAAAAACAAAAAAAAAGGAGTTTCAACTTCAAAAGCATCACTTTTTAATAAATATTTTTAAATACCAACCATTAAATTTAGTATTTTATTTATATGAATCATATATATCAATTTTTCTATTGATTGAATGTATTTAACTAGTTTATTAATTATACAAAATTTTAAGTTAAAAATACAAGTTTTTTGATTGAAAGATTATAAGTGTTGGATGTAACTTAAAAATTGACATATATGATCTATATCAATAAAGTATTAAATCTAATTGTTAGTTTTTTAAAATATTCTTTGGAATGTGGCGTTTTTGAAGTTTAAGTCTTCAAATTTTTAATGGAAGTCGAAACATTAAATTCAAGTTTTTTGATTGAATGATTATGAACATTAGTTCAACTAAAAAATTTGAAGTTTGTCTTCAAGTTTTTAAGGTTATATATATATTACATACGTAGTGCAGGTCATCCTCTCAAAATTTCTTTTAGAAGGTATGTCTAAAAACTCACCTTCTAATTAACATTTTCAAAAGCAAATCATTAGACTGAAAGTTTTATTCATATAAATGATGTATATCAACCTTCAAATTGTTCTAGTAGGCATAACCACTTCAATGATAAAACAAAACTTAACATCATTAAATATATGTTAATAAAAAATTTCCTTAATTAAAAGGTTAGAAGTATTAGATTAATATAAAAATTAATATATATGATTATCTATATGTATAAAACTTTTAATTTAATGATTAATTTTTAAAAATATTAATTAAAATGTGAATATTTAAATATATTCTCCAAAAAAATTTTGAGAGGAGGATTTGCACTACATCAACCTCATGTATGTATATAACCTATCTTCCATTTCTTTATAAAGTGGATGCCCCCAAAAGAGCCTTCCTTGTGGAAGTAGTGATGAAGAAAAGCACTAACCTTTCAATTTATTATTAAAATCTAAACTTGAAGTCAAACTCAATCAATTTTGTCTCTCCAACAAGCTTTTTATATGGATGGCAAATGCCAAAGAACCAAGATACTTTGCTTTGCAAGAGTCAATGATGTTTTTTAATTTAAGTATTGCTCAAAGGGATGGATAAAAATGGGATACAATTGGAAATTTCATTGGATGCTTTTTTTCATTAGTACGTACCCTGGTTCAATATATTGTATAAAATATTTATTAAAATATTATTATTTTTTGTTTGAAATTAAAGATAAAAAAATTTAAAAATATAGTCATGCATACATGTGCAGAAACTAGCTTAATCAACTGTACTTATATTTTATTTTAATAGCAAAACTAAGACAAGTGTTAAAAATATATTGAATCGAGTGTCTATTAATTATTTTACTAATAAAATATTAATAAACATTTTTAACTTCTTTCCTTTTGGCTAATTATTTTTCATTGTTTTCAGACATCTTTTAGAACCCTAAGTGCTATTGTAATATCCCAAAATTTTGTGATATTTTAGCACTTAGTTAAGGACTTGATTGTGAGGAAATATTATTTTGGGATTTAATAGCCAAAATTTTGAAACTTGAGGGACTTAAAAGAGGAAAGAATTTGGATAAGGATCAGCTATTTTTTCTCCTTTTCCTCTTTCTTCTTCAGTCCGATTCTGCTCTTGTTCTTCATCCCCAACAGCCCCCCCCAAGCCCCTCCAGCCACCGACTCATTTCTTTGAGAAAATTGGTGACAAAACTTGAAATTTCTCCTTCTTTCTTGCTCAATAACAAGTTTTAGGACTTAGAACTCTCTTTCTCAACCCAGAAATTTTCAGATCTGCTGCTGCCTTCTCCCTCCTTTACCGCCGGTTGCTGCTGTGGGTAGTGGTTTCGATTTTTCTAGTAAGCCACAGCGATGAACTTCATCTTTTCAGCTTGATTTAGCTTGGGTTCATCTTAAATCTATTGTTCCTTCAATTTTAGGTTAATTCCGTGAGTCCCTTGTAGAATTGCCGCCGGCTTCTCCCCCCTGCCAGGCCTAGTTCTGCAGCTACTAAATTCTGGTATGTTGACAGCTCCTCCAAGCCCGAAATTTCATCAATTAGTTGTTGAATTTTGTCCATTTATTTGCTGCCCTGTGCTGTCCGAATTTTCCTGAAAAATGGGGATGGATTTCGGTAGTAATTAGAGCATAATTAAGTTTAATTCATGTAGAAAATTTGCTTATTTTGGCTGCTGTGATTTTGGAGAAAACCCCGAGATTAGCTATGGTTTTGCCAATTTTGGAAGTTGCAGTTACTGTTCATGGCGTAATTACTATTCATGATACTGTTCACAAGTACTGTTCATGAATACTGTTCACGCATTAATGGCCAACAATAGGAGGGTTTAAATGTTAATTATACTGAGAATGAAATTGAGATGTTTGGTCATATGGTTGAATTTCGTGTGAAGCTCATTAGTTAGTAAATTTGCAAGGTTGTTCTAATAATTCTAGCAAAGTCTAAATGTATTTATTTGGAATATTAGGTGCTATTATGGCTTAGAGCATTGGGATTGAGTCCTTGGTTTATGCGATTGAGGTAAGTAAATTATGGTAACACCTTTCGATTTCAAAGCATGTTTTAAATTGTTTTTGAGATGGTGGCAAGGTTTAAAATGATTTTATTAGTACTGAGCATGATTGGCTTGAAATGAAATTGTTTTCATTTGCATTGAGTAGAGCATGCCTACTTGGAATTTGCTTAACTGCCCCGATGATCTGAGATTTTTTGTAAATTCTGATTTTTTTGTTAAATCCATACCCACATGGAATTTTTCTGGTTTATTCTTAAATTTGAGATTGATTGTGAATTACGGGTTTTTCTGTAAATTCTGCATGGTTTTGTCTCTGATATGGTCTTGTTTACTATGCCCGTTAGTGGGAGGTTTATAAACGCTAGCACATGTTGACATGTTTACTGATAGGACCGGTTCATTCTGTAATCCTGCCAATGGGATAATACATTGGTTATTATTGAAATCTTACCAATAGGATAAAACATTGGTTACTACTGTGCCCGCTAGTGGGAGGTTTATAAACGCTAGCCATGACCTAGAAATGAGACTATTACTAAATTTTCTTCTACATTAACGGTTTGTCATTGAACACTTGTTTATTGAACTGAATCTGATTCTGCATTAACGGTTTATCATTGAACGTTTTGTTATGTTAAACTGTTTATCAGGCATGCTAAAATTTTACTCACGGGCTATTCATATTTACTTACTGAGTTATCTCATAGTTTTTTCTTGTCCACCATTTCAGGAAGCGAAGTCAAGGATGGGGAAAAATGAGGGGAGTGACGAGTTAGAAGGCTAGCCATTTTGTAAATTG